GTTCAGAAATAAAAATTTTTATTCCGCACATACGTACACACAGACATACATACAGACAGACAGACAGACATTCAGCTTTATATATAAGACTAGCGACCCTACGGGTCGCTAGCAAGCGGGTAGGGCACACCATAAATAAACGCGTTTCATACCTATAATTTTCTCAAGTGAATTTTCAATTTATCAGTATATGTATTGCCACAATCGCTCAAAAGTAACATTTTCAGAGATTTTTTCAATGGGAGGAAAGTGAGTCATATCGTGCTAAAATTTTGCTTTGCCCTAGTCATCGCTGCACAGCTTCCTTTCGCAACGTTATCTCGCACTCATGCTTGCAATCTGGAGAGAAGAATCGAATTCACTCAGGGCAAAAGCTCCCAAAACGAGATTGAGGATTTTCCCAAAATTTGCCGGAAAATGGATCATATCGTGCTAAAATTTTGCTTTGCTCTAGTCATCGCTGCACAGCTTCCTTTCGCAATGTCACTCTCGCACTCGCGCTTACCATCTGGAGAGAAAAATCGAACTCACCCAGGGGAAAAGCCCCCAAAAGCGAGATCTTCGAGGATTTTCTCAAAATTAGGCGCAAAAGTGGATCATATCGTGCTAAAATTTTGTTTTGCCCTAGTCATCGCTGTACAGCTTCCTTTCGCAATGTCACTCTCGCACTTCACCCAGAGCAAAAGCTCCCAAAAGCGAGATCTTCGAGGATTTTCTCAAAATTAGGCGGAAAAGTGGATCATATCGTGCTAAAATTTTGTTTTGCCCCAGTCATCTCTGTATAGATTCCTTTCGCAATGTCACTCTCGCACTCACGCTTACCATCTGGAGAGAAAAATCGAATTCACCCAGAGCAAAAGCTCCCAAAACCGAGATTTTCGAGGATTTTCTCAAAATTAGGCGGAAAAGTGGATCATATCGTGCTAAAATTTTGTTTTGCCCCGGTCATCGCTGCACAGCTTCCTTTTGCAATGTCACTCTCGCAATCACGCTTACCATCTGGAGAGAAAAATCGAATTCACCCAGAGCAAAAGTTCCCAAAAGCGAGATTTTCGAGGATTTTCTCAAAATTAGGCGGAAAAGTGGATCATATCGTGCTAAAATTTTGTTTTGCCCCGGTCATCGCTGCACAGCTTCCTTTTGCAATGTCACTCTCGCAATCACGCTTACCATCTGGAGAGAAAAATCGAATTCACCCAGAGCAAAAGTTCCCAAAAGCGAGATTTTCGAGGATTTTCTCAAAATTTGGCGGAAAAGTGGATCATATCGTGCTAAAATTTTGCTTTGCCCTAGTCATCGCTGCACAGCCTCCTTTTGCAATGTCACTCTCGCACTCACGCTTACCATCTGGAGAGAAAAATCGAATTCACCCAGAGCAAAAGTTCCCAAAAGCGAGATTTTCGAGGATTTTCTCAAAATTTGGCGGAAAAGTGGATCATACCGTGCTAAAATTTTGCTTTGCCCCGGTCATCGCTGCACAGCTTCCTTTTGCAATGTCACTCTCGCACTCACGCTTACCATCTGGAGAGGAAAATCGAACTCACCCAGGGGAAAAGCCCCCAAAAGCGAGATCTTCGAGGATTTTCTCAAAATTAGGCGCAAAAGTGGATCATATCGTGCTAAAATTTTCTTTTGCCCTAGTCATCGCTGTACAGCTTCCTTTCGCAATGTCACTCTCGCACTCACGCTTACCATCTGGAGAGAAAAATCGAATTCACCCAGAGCAAAAGCTCCCAAAAGCGAAATTTTCGAGGATTTTCTCAAAATTAGGCGGAAAAGTGGATCATATCGTGCTAAAATTTTGCTTTGCCCTAGTCATCGCTGCACAGCTTCCTTTTGCAATGTCACTCTCGCACTCACGCTTACCATCTGGAGAGAAAAATCGAATTCATCCAGGGCAAAAGCTCCCAAAAGCGAGATTTTCGAGGATTTTCTCAAAATTAGGCGGAAAAGTGGATCATATCGTGCTAAAATTTTGCTTTGCCCTAGTCATCGCTGTACAGCTTCCTTTCGCAACGTTATCTCGCACTCATGCTTACAATCTGGAGAGAAAAATCGAATTCACCCAGAGCAAAAGCGAGATTTTCGAGGATTTTCTCAAAATTAGGCGGAAAAGTGGATCATATCGTGCCAAAATTTTGTTTTGCCCCAGCCATCGCTGTACAGCTTCCTTTCGCAATGTCACTCTCGCACTCACGCTTACCATCTGGAGAGAAAAATCGAATTCACCCAGAGCAAAAGCTCCCAAAAGCGAAATTTTCGAGGATTTTCTCAAAATTAGGCGGAAAAGTGGATCATATCGTGCTAAAATTTTGCTTTGCCCTAGTCATCGCTGTACAGCTTCCTTTCGCAACGTTATCTCGCACTCATGCTTACAATCTGGAGAGAAAAATCGAATTCACCCAGAGCAAAAGCGAGATTTTCGAGGATTTTCTCAAAATTAGGCGGAAAAGTGGATCATATCGTGCCAAAATTTTGTTTTGCCCCAGCCATCGCTGTACAGCTTCCTTTCGCAATGTCACTCTCGCACTCACGCTTACCATCTGGAGAGAAAAATCGAATTCACCCAGAGCAAAAGTTCCCAAAAGCGAGATTTTCGAGGATTTTCTCAAAATTAGGCGGAAAAGTGGATCATATCGTGCTAAAATTTTGTTTTGCCCCGGTCATCGCTGCACAGCTTCCTTTTGCAATGTCACTCTCGCAATCACGCTTACCATCTGGAGAGAAAAATCGAATTCACCCAGAGCAAAAGTTCCCAAAAGCGAGATTTTCGAGGATTTTCTCAAAATTTGGCGGAAAAGTGGATCATATCGTGCTAAAATTTTGTTTTGCCCCAGTCATCGCTGTACAGCTTCTTTTCGCAATGTCACTCTCGCACTCACGCTTACCATCTGGAGAGAAAAATCGAATTCGCCCAGAGCAAAAGCTCCCAAAAGCGAGATTTTCGAGGATTTTCTCAAAATTAGGCGGAAAAGTGGAAGCATAGTGAATACAGAGATTGGATGTGAGCGGATCAAATGGTAGGCTTCTACAACTAACTTTGCAACAATGACCAGCTCGCAATTTCAACACCCTTGGCACGCGCTTGCGTCTTTCAACACACCCATTGCAGCAGCAGAGCGTAACCTGCGTGTCGTGTCCTCTCGTTCGCGCTAGGACCTCTGCGTCCTCTTGACCTCATGATCGCACCGTCGCGTCTCTGCACAATAAGGCCCCGTTCGGCAACTGGCGTCTATTCAAAACACTCGTTGAAGCATACATGTGGGCGGACCATCCTCGCCGTCTCGTTTTTTGGGATCGGGTTTATATTATAGGAGAGGATACTACAGCTAGTGTAAGAACAGCTCAGCATAGGTTTCAAAAACATAGAATTTTCGTTTTTCCGCTTTCTAGCAGAGAAAAAAAAATACTGCAACTGCACATACAGGGTGTTCCAAAAAAATGTGAACTTTGTTTGATCGTTAATAACTCTCTTACTTTCATGTCCTTCGCCGAGCTTGAGGTACCATTGTGTAGAGCGAGGTTCAACTTAGATCAACACAAGCGGATCATCAATCACTCTTCATTACTGTAGTATTACGATATAAACTTTTGGCATCGAGCGCCACTGTGATGTAGGCCTTTTGATGGAAAAAAATTCCACAAGAACTGGAAATCTGTGGTTTCACAAGTTTTTTGAGATGTTTAATGGTTCATACTTCTGACAACTTTGGAAAAATACTTGTTACTCCGCAGCCGAAATAACTTATGAAAGAAGCATTACATTGAAGTGCAAACTTCATATTTAGAGACAGCGACTTCGATTAGTACAGTACAAGAGTCTCTTTGGCTATTTTGGTATTCCTTCTGAGGTAAAAATCGCTTCCAGATGTCTAAAATCCTTCCCGAATTTCCTACCGTAATCCTACAGTAATGATGAGTGATTGATGACCCGGCTCGGCGAAAGCAGGAGTTGTTAACGATTGAACAGTGTGCACATCTTTTGGGACAACCTGTATAAATGTCTGACATGGGCCGTTTATGCGTAAGCAAGGAATTATTCACGTAACATTTTTCAAAAGAATGTAAATTCGTCAACAATTTCCTTATTCTTTTCGCAAGCATAAGTTCTCTTAGTCCGAAGCTCAAAGTTGACCAAGTCAACTTTGAGCTTCGTTTGAATAATAGTTGGTGCAAATCTCTGAATAGTATCTTTTAGAGCTAAGTTCTGATATATCTGCCGTAGCGAATGATATATCAGAACCCATCTAGGGTATAGGAGAAATATGAATTATTGCGTGGTGCAAGACTTATATCAAATCCTAATCAGTATGCTCGCAAATCCTATTCAATTTAGATCAAAGTAAACCAGCCTATCCCATTTTGCTTTCTTGATGAAAGTTGCTAGTAATGGGCTTTCCTCGGCTTACAATTGGAACGTTTCTGATGTCAATTTTTGAAGACGTGCACAATAAGATATGGCATGTCTGTGCCATTTAATAATGTGATATTTAATTTCTGAACCGCTCGCACAGTGGTGCGCTCTGGTTGGTCAATACTTCGCCACGATCAGCCGAGGTTTGGACAGGGTGGAGTAGGGGGCTGAAAAGGGAAGGACCACTTATCGGCGCATTTCTTACCCTCCTTCATGGTAGAGGCCGGTTGAGTTTTCGAACGTCCATTTAAATAAAATGGTTTGTTCCAGCTAGGATAGAAGGGTACAAAAAATCTCTAGCATCAGGCAAATAACGTTGCGATTATAGGATATCGCGTTTTACCAAAAGAGACAAACAATGTGGTAGTTAAATAACTACAATACTTGCAAACAACTTGCTCTAGCTTATGAAATAGTAATTTTATTCAGATCCCTGTACTCGATGTATATTCGACATTATAAGAATCGCAACAATAAATTTGAAAGATATCGTCATTCACATTGAAGTTTCAAGTCTCACAACAAATATGTCATATTTACCTAGAACGCAACCTAGTGGCGCTAAATACGACTTTCACAGAAACATCTACAAAAATCCGTAAGCGAAAGAATATAAACGGCCATCAAGCGAAATCACTAAAGCACCATCGTTATTTAGTGGCTTTGATACATCGTTTGAGCAGCACAACGGATACATATTGAGAGAAAATGAGGCTTGCAGTGAGAAATGGAGGAATTCAGTGAGCGGCGAAGCATTCTCGCATTGTGTGTAAGGAGATGCTCTTACAAAGCAACCATTATCAAACAACAATAAAGAGCAAACGAAACGATTTTCTGAATTTACACATACCTCATTCTTGATCACTGGTACATAAATGATGTGCGTTACATCGAACACGACCCGAACTACGAAAACTATGATACACAGCAAGAATCACAGCCACATTTCAAAAACTATTATACTTGTTTACACATTCGTAAAATCTTGATCATTTCTTGACATGCGCGGCAACACATGCGGCGCGGCGCAAAAGCGCGCGCTGTACCCGTGCGGACTAGTAGACTCCATCGTCGCCATCTTTACATCAGTGCTGGACCCGCAAAGATGTTCTGGGCTCATCGGGACCATTGGTGGTCACAAACGTTCGCGCGGCATGAGGCGACTGTTCGAGTTGTAGCCGATGCCAAGCGTCGAGCTATCATAGTCCGTCCGACTTTGATCTGCCTCCATCAATGCCAGCATATCCTGCAAAACCGTAATGGAACAGAAACTAATGATAAGCTGGTGAAAAAGTTTTCGTAGGTCCTCGTAGATCTGCTATTCCTCGGAAACGTGTACTCTTGCACTCTAGCAAAGAAGCAAGTGGGAGAAGCTTAAGAATAATGTAGGCAAAGTTTGCCACTTTGCAATTATCTCGTTCTTCTTGTTTGAGCTCAAATTCCATACACATGTGCATGTATGTATGTGTCTACTATGAATTGGTGCATGCAGGAGTATCATATGATTTACGGAGGTTGGAAAACCGCAGTACGTCAAAATCATGTACTTTCGATTCTTTGAAGGTGCAGCATGCCCCATTTACCACACATAAAAAAATTTTTTCTCGAAATGCTATGTCTGAGAACTTTCCTTCCTACCTAATATATTATATGTTAGTGCACAAGGTTTGCGCTAAATTCAAAAATCCATCTCCTCCAACTATGATAAATTTATTTGATTTTATACATATTAAAAACTGAAAATTTTGCACTTTATAAGACGTTGCGGACCGCGAAATCGCGCGCGGCGAAAAAAAGTGTACTTTCAGCCGTTAGCCTACAAAGGGACCTTATTTTGCAGCCTATGGGCCACATTCGTAATCAGCATGTCAGATAAGCTCCATATCCAAAGTTCTGAGTGAATTCGAAGTGTTTGAATTTTGTCGCTTGAGAGGGACTTTTGTGCTTTCTTGAAAGATGGGAACAAGAACTCAGATTCTAATAGTACTCAAAAGTATCTATGTTGTACACGATACACATCAGTACTGAAACTACGGTTTTTCTCTTTGATATCGAAGCAAAGGAAAGTTGCGAAGTCGCACGCGTCGTTCGCGTCGCCGCACTTCGTTGCAACTGTTGTTCGATTTGTGTTCATATCTCCTAAACAAATATCGGCGACACAACTCTACAGAGTCATTTGAAAAGTAGGAGCTTAGACCTTTGACTTAACAACTTTAGACTAAAAGGAAACCTCCTGCAAACGCCAGAAAGATCCTTCAAAGCAGCGTGCTGCACCATGTGCAGCACCGGTCCGAAACGTGCTAATGGTGTGGATCAAAAATCTCGTGGAGCTGTTAAAGGCAGTGTCCGGGCAAAATGGGGGTTCTGAGATTTCTCTGCCATGTGAAAGTAGCCCCCCCCCCCTGAGACACAACATCGCGCAACTGCGAGCTTAAAACGTTCGACCTAAAGCAAGAAAAACGATTGCAAATTGGGGAAACTTACGCCTTGGGGCGGGGTCCTCCGAGCTGTTTGAATTAATGCCAGACGGCAGAGTACGTATGCCGCCACAGTTGAAAACCGTGCGCTCTTTGCAACCTCTGCGTCTTAGCCTGGCGGGAATCCCCAAATTTCGAAATGTGAGGACTTGGAAAATGCATGTTCTCGCCGTTTTCGCGCCTTCTGATGTGGATTTTCGGATTCAGCGTTGCGGATAACCCCAGATAAGTTGATTTTTTAGAAGTCGAGTTTCTGCCCGGACACTGCCTTTAAAGCTGTTCGAGTGACGAGCTCTGTGCCAGCGCCGTGGCGGAACGTCGATCGACCAATACGATGCTCCTCGGGTTTCGGTGCGGCATTAGCACGGAGCTGGTTCGAGGAACTCGGACGGACGCAGCCTCAGTACTGCATGCTAGCAAAATTCTGCAGTTTTCACAGCATTCAGCTCTCTTCTAGAATTTGTCCCAAACACAGAACATGACTGACAGTCTCCGATTATACTTCACGATCAAGTCTGAACAACGTCATTCATTACCTGTAACCGTCCTGGTAACCGACTCGCTTGCGCGTGTTCATTGTGTTCCAGCGCATCCATTATTGGCTCTTTATACTGATCGAGGTACTTGTAGAGCTCATTCAATGCCGAGAACACATGGAACTGGCCGCGATGCACCCTTGACTCCTCATTGAGCAAGCTGGCCATATCTTGGTCAGATATCGGCGCTAAGCGAGCTATATCCGAGTAGTAACTGAAAAGAACTTTTGTTCAGGCATAAGAAAATGATGTCTAGGCTATAATGAATATCACCGGTCGCAGGAATTCCAGAATGAGGCAGCGCGCGAGCACCGCAGCGGCGGAAATAGCAGTCGGGCGCAGAAGTTAGCCGTTTGCTCAGGTATTTAGACTCTTCCTTTCTGTATTCAAGTTCTCCTCGCATCTGCTCGCAAACAAAACTAACTCAAGAATGTACGTTGAAGACACCCACGGAAAGAAACGGTTGAAAAGAACAGTTAGTCGAGTCAGCCACAGTTCTACGCGTCATACGCTCTCGCGCTCGCGTACCATTTTCGATGCCTACGTCACGCGCGCCGCCTCAGCTCATGGGATCCCGCGACCGATGGTGAGTGATATACTACAGGTTGTACGGCTACATACCTATCCACCCAATCTCTGTATTGATACATGTCTTTAGCGAACAGAAGCTTGCTTGATGGTGAATCTTTTGTAAGCTGATGGTCTTGCGTAGAACATGCATCCATGAGAGTCTGTGCGACCACGGACAAACATCCTTCCACCTTAAACGCCACTGTATACTGAGGAAAAGTACAAAACCAGGATTACCTTGGTCGGTTTTTGGATATCAAACACAAAGTGAGGGTTCTTTATAAGATTGACCCAGAACCTCAATGGTAAAGCGTTGCTCTTCCATGCATGTACCACTTCTGCATCTGTGATACCGTGTTCAAGTGCCTAAACGGTATGTATGCGGTATATCAGCTGCAGTAAACCAATCCTACCTGTTCATCCATAAAGTCGAACATGTACTTGATAGCTGCAGGTAATGGTGCGGATCTTGACGACGTGGAAAATATTGCCTCCAAAAGATCGTTTATGAATTTTTGAAGTGTACCCTTCATCATTAGTAATCTGCAAAAAAGTCCTGTTGAGTGAATACACAGCTGATTGTGTTATCTTTATATCGACCTAGTGAGGTAGATTTCCGTGACCATTTTTTCTTGATTTTCCGATGGGCCATGTTCGGTGGGCTTGACGAGATGATACAGCTTTTGACCTTCGGCATCCTATATAATCATGATATGATTCAAGTAGCCGAGATCACGACTAACGGAAATACAAGAAAGATAACAAAAGATAACGATAAATACATCAATTATGATCAATGCTAAGATACCTAAATATAATAGTTGAGGTATATAACAAAAAAATAAATAATTATAAAAATAATACCTTTGATGTGCTACTACTGCTCGTTCCAACCCACGGTCGTGAGAGCGTCGGACTGTTCTTCAGGCTCAGCGTCGACTTTTCACTCCTTTCAGAGAGTAAAGACTGTAAAGAAAAAAGAATGCACAACTTATCAGCGGAATATAACTGGAAAATCAAAAACTTACCAGATTATACAAAGAGTTCTGTCTGGTCGTCAACATCAACACAGAATTGTTAGGTACATTATAGTGCCCCAATGTGTTCACTCGCTTCCAACCACCCGGTTCTATTCGAGATGTCGAATCGATATCCTCAAATGCCAACGTATCGCTAAAGATTGCTAGATAGAGCAAGATTAACCTACCTGCAGAACCATACGACCGTTTATGCCCGTACGCCATTCTAAGTCGAGATCATTGGCGCTGGGTCTATCCGAATATGGCACAGTTCGATACTTAGCATCCAGACACTTCTCCTTCACCTGAAGCATGAAAATATTCAGAGGAAAAAAAACAGTCCAGCCACAAAGTGCAGATCCAGTCTGCGGTTGAGTACTGTATACCTAACTCTACCCCCATGATCGGCAACACTCTGTCTAAGTAATTGCCCTAGTCCACTGAACAGATTGATTTCGAAGCGAGAAGTCACCAGAAGGAAACAGCAGAGGTCGACATGCCCATCCAAGTGGGTCCTTTTGCAGCAAGATTTGAGCAGTTACTAAGTTAGGAGCCTTACTATTAAAACGCGCCAAAATCTCAGCAAACTCGTATTTATGTGGGCATTGTCTTTAAGTTCCTCGTCCTAGAAGGCGGCGAGTAGCCCGACTATCCCAAAGTAGCAACTTCTTTAGACAACCTTTCCAAGAGACTTGTCCATGCAATCCCTTGGCTGGCTCTCCGCACACGAGATTACTCACCCCGCAGAGATACAGTTATTAAAATCACTGTGTAACATACAAGATTTGTTTCTACCTGAGTAATGGTATCACAGTCCAGTACACGCACGGGCATATCTGGTTGGGTGTAAGCCATCGAATCAGCTGCTATGAATATCGTCAGTTCTTTGTATTCAAACGTTGCACGCAATAGTTTCTCCTCCGAGAGAGAATATCTGAAAAGGTCATCTTCAGGAATATCTTCTAATTAGATTAGAATAATCTTGGCGAGATATTTTTCCAACAAAACATGGCATACCGAGCCTCGAGTGTTAAAGCATCTTGTGGTCCTTTTTCCATTTGCTGTTTTATGCCCCAATATAGGTCATAGAGACGTTTTCCAGCAAAATTCTACAAACAAGAGGATAAGAGTCGAAATCAGATACGACAACCCAATAAGCAAAACCAATATTTCAAATCTCACCCTAAGGTAATCATGCATCAGAAAGGTGAACCACGCTGCCAACATGCGCTCGGCCACACTCTCGCTTCTTCTGAATAAGATCTTCGGCTGAAATTTCTTCTCAACCGTACGATCAATCAGCTCTCTGAGAAGTTGTTTGAGCATTTCCGTGCAATATCCCATTTTCTCCTAAATTTGCAGAGAGTAGGTGAACTTGACTAAAGCAAACAAAAAAGATGTCCCTGGAGACTCACTTGCAAGACAACCATGATTAGCGAACCAACGTAGACACGATCTTTACCCAGGAAATATTTGTTCGACTCCATTGTTCGTACCATCGTCAGGAAGAAAGTCTAAATGATGAGGACTTAAACCATACAAAGTTCGATAATCTGTAGATACTCAGGAGCAGTATGTATCAATCTTCCGATTTCTGATAAAGCGCTGCTTTAAGGGCCGGGCATACTTCACGCGATTTCAGTCGCGACGCAATTTGGCAATATTCCAAGTGTCCATAACTCACTGTTAGCACATTTTTAATGTACAGAAGATAGGGCATTTTATCAACCCACGTAAGTTATACACACTATACATGTGCAGTTTGCTAGTGTTGGATCTGAAGACTTCTGGCGGATTGCCAAATCGCGTCGCGACTGAAATCGCGTGAAGTATGCCCGGCCCTTTACCTTCAGAAAGGAGCGCCCATCGCTTCCATCGGGCGATACAACAGCGCCCGCAAGGCGAATATAAAAGCCGCCCAGTTAACCACAGTTAATTGCCACTCACTTTATTCATGAGCAACTTATGGAATTCTCTCAATCCAGCTTCAATTGCTCCTGCTTTCTGACTATCAACTTCCAGATCTCGTAGCACTGGGTGATTATGCGGGTTGTTGGGAAACAACACCTGAAATCGGTTGATGAAGCTATCCTGGATTTTTAACTAACATTTGAACATTACCCTAGCACAATAATCTTTATATTCCAGGAAAGGTACAACAGGTGTTCCAAGGGGCAGATCAGCAGTATACTGGTTCAAAGAAGTCTGCAATTCGGCAAAGGCTTCCTTACATTCCGTAGCAACCTAAAATATCACTGCTCAAAATTCAACTATGCACCCCACGCAGCCATAAGACAATCAGACATGACAAATACGACTCACCTTCATTTCAATTGTATCCATTTGGGTCTTCAAATATTTCATTTGTCGCTGATGAGAGTTGGTTTTTCGCCTATTTAAATATTATTAAGTCTTTGCATCCAAATATGCTATTCATATAGGCTAGAAGAACTGCCGGTAAAAACAATGCTTTTGCCGACAACATTTGCGCTTTGATAAAATGCTACTCGTGTGATGGCGGTAGTTTACATTTGCAAATTGGGCGCAAAGCGCATATTTGCAGATTTTGCGCTACATGGCAACTTGTGCACGAGCGAATGTTGTCCGCGGATGTTGGCACCGCAAAGGAATATTACGGCGAATCTAATAGTCTATAGCCTCACTAGCATTCTGATATATTAGGTTGATGCAAAAATAATGAGCGTTTTTATTTGCTTGCTTTAACAAAGCAACCAGACTCAACCCAACAAAGAGTAAGGGGTACTGTTCGATAGAGCAAAGCAAGCTCTACAAGATGGCACTCATGCTTTGCACCATGCTCGATCCACGGAGAGTTCGAACTCAAAATCTAAAGATTTCCAAATGCCCAAAAAATCGAAAAAAAATCAGATCTTCGTTCAAATAATTTCTACGGACCTCCCACTCGCTCATATCAATACTATCGATATCTGATATCCATATGTGCGATTGCCGTATTTTTTCCTTGACTAGAAAATAAGAAAACGAAAATTCCCCTGATTTTCTCAAAGCAATGCTGAGCCGTTTTTGCATATGTAGTTCTATACTACAAGCCTAGGTAAGCATAACTGTAGATTTTCAGCTCATTCCAAGCGGTAGTTTTCGAAAAATAACGAATTCGGATTTTTTCGTTTCAGTTTCAGTGCTAAAATCGACATTTCTTGAAAAGTACCGCTCGAAATAGGCTGAAAACTTACAGTTATGCTTATCTAGGCTTGTAGTATAGAACTACATATGCAAAAACGGCTCAGCATTGCTTTGAGAAAATCAGGGAAATTTTCGTCGTCTCAGTTTCTAGTCAAGGAAAAAATACGGCAATCGCACATATGGATATCAGATATCGATAGTATTGATATGAGCGAGTGGGAGGTCCGTAGAAATTATTTGGACGAAGATCTGATTTTTTTTGATTTTTTGGGCATTTGGAAATCTTTAGATTTTGAGTTCGAACTCTCCGTGGATCGAGCATGGCGCAAAGGCATGAGTGCCATCTTGTAGAGCTTGCTTTGCTCTATCGAACAGTACCCCTTACTCTTTGTTGGGTTAAGTCTGGTTGCTTTGTTAAAGCAGACAAATAAAAACGCTCATTATTTTTGCATCAACCTAATATTACCTGTACATGATCGCCAAGCAAACAAAGCATGCAAGCATCGCTGCGATACATCCTAGAATTACCAACACCACGCCGGAAGTGACTGAAGGAGAATCGTACGAGAAGAGCCCAATGCTATAGCTGAAGAAATAAAACATGATTGGAGAAATGGAAAAATAAAAAAAAGTTGAAAGTGAGAGCCGAGATAAAGGAGGGACATCAAGCAGTACCTTTTCCCGCCAATTTTCACAACAACTTCTGGCTCCAGTCCACCATCCAAATGCGGTTTTTCTGTGGGTGGCTTACAGGTGAGGACTTTCCGAGCTAAGGCAGTTAGTTGGCAATCAACACCGCCAACCTAAGACAAATTTGTCACCGACATAATGCGAGGAAGGGCTCGAAAAACCCTACCGTGATTTTGATGTCCCTTTCCATTGCTCCCACATTGAGATCGTCGCCATTGATAGTGAGGTAGTTGTCGCCAGGACGATAGAATCTTGTCTCAGCAAACTCATTCACTTTGGGATTTGGGTAAACTTCCATTTGCCGACTCCTACAGTAAATAGACAACATTCTCTAATGCAATGAATTTAATGAACATGTGTAACTAACTCAGTGATCGTCCCATCAAAATCGAATGCAAAATTATGATGCAAACGACCTCCGGTGTCTCCAGAGGGTAAACCAGGCGTCAGGCAAACCATCAGTCCATCATCCTCCACGTCACATACTGGCCCAGACTCGATAATGCCCCTATAGAGTACATGTCACCATTTACGGGTAAAGCCGATAATCGGGAACGAATTCAGTCTCAACAAAATTGCACGAACCGATCATTGATGAGGACCATCCGTGGTCTCTGTAACAAAGCAAATCCTTCTCCTTTGACATCGATCTTCACCCCACCAGCAGCGATACTTTTTGCCGGAACTATTGTGCTCACACGCGGATTTGATCTGAAAAAAAAAACTCAATTTTTCGGGGCTGTGTCCCAGAGCCACTTGTATGCCAGAGCCGTGTCGGAACCAAGTCAGCACCCACAAAGATGCGCAATCGATTGGTCGATAACGCTGCCATGGCGCTGGCACAGACACTTCTGAGCGCCTCATTATTTACTAAATAACATAAAAACAACCTACACAAATTCGTAACTGAGCTGATAGGGAACACGGCCTGGTGACCCATCAAAATCCAGTCTGAGTGTTTTGCTGCTACTGACACCAGCATCCGATTCCATTGCTCCCATCCGGCATACCAAATTATCCGGGAAACGCGAAATCACCTGAGTATGCTCAAAATAAGGGGCACCTTTGAATGCACTCCTGCCCACCAGATACCTCGCATTTGATTTCACCAAACGAGACATGAACTTCACTTCCAGCATCAAGATCAGTGCCGTACAACGTGACATGAGTTCCGCCAGATTTTGGTCCTGTAAACAGCAAGGGTGGTTTGCTTATATTCTGATTCTTTGACGCATGGAAGAAAATACAGACTATCCAAAAATGCAACTGATGTTTGGTCGCTGAAAATTTCCTATATCATCAGCTCAGAGTGGGTACCTATTGTGAAGTTAGCTTTAGCTTAGATCTGTATAAGATATATCGCCATCAATCTTCAGTACTGTAGATTACGGTGAAAACATTCAAAAGGGTTCGATGAGAGCCAAAGGTTCCCACGAAAGGTTAGCAGAGTCGGGCTGACTGGGGAGGCTGGAACCGTAAAAAGTTATTCTCTAGAACCTAAATCTGAATAATTCACGTTTACAGACGCTTCAAAAATTTCCTGAAGGCAGCTGACTTGCAATGCATCATACCACAAATTTCTACCGTAACCCTGCAGTAATATAAAGCGATAGATTTTCGCGATGTACTGCTGATCTGAATGTATAAGATTGTGTAATAAGTTCGTTCACAGTTTTTGTTTTAGTTTTTTCTTAATATTTGGAAAGCATTTGACAAGATGTTCGCATGCGTTCGAAAGCTCTAAGTCTGCCCTATCAAATCGCTGTCGTTATTTTCTCGATTCTTAATGAAATGATTAAAAAAATCGACTGCAGGCCGCAAGTCCGAGAAGGCGGAAATTGTTCGCGACATCTTCTCTCTTAGTTTTTCTCATCGATAATAATGAAATCTATTTAAAAAGCTTGACAACACACTTATGAATTAAGAGCCATTGTGTATGCATGCTCATTTCCTTTCACTGACCGTTAAATGCCATTTTTGTAAAAGTCGGCGGAGGAAAGACTTTGCCGCAAAGGCGTTCATCGTTTCGCGTACTTGAGTTGCTGTCCCCCAAAGTCTAAATTGTAGAGTAAGCAACCCACATATTCGATGATTCTAGAGTAAATACCCTCTTAACTGCCAAATCCGTATTGCTCAGCGGCCATCCTCTCTCAAGGTGCCTTCAGATGCCTAACATTGACGCCAATGGTACGTCAAAATACAGACCTATCTTTGAGTTGTAATTTGATTTTCAGGAAATTTTAGCACTTATAAGTAGCTTGCGGGAGGTATAGAATTCTATCCGTACACTTCGCAAACTTTTCGAGAATTTTTTCAAGCGAGCAAATCCATTTGAGAAGACGCAAGATAGTTGTCAAAAATGGGGTTTTGGCAACTCGGATTTTCCGGTTTGCAGTCGAGTTTTTCGTTCAACTATTCAAGAACTGAAAATTAATGATTACAGTTTTGTAGAGCAGACTTAGTGGTTCCGAATGCATACAAACATTTTGCCAGATCTTTGCAAAATATTGAGAAGAAACTCAAAAGATCCGAACGAACTTATTATGCAACCTAATAATTCCAAACCAGCCCCATGGTAGCTAATGATACAAGAGTTATTAGCGATCATTCGCTACATTTCTGATACATTTCTGATATACCATACGGATGCTGCAAGTTTGGTGGGATATGACGAGGGACAAACCCGTTAAAAAAGGACCCATTTTTCAAAATTCGAAGAATTCGTTGTGACGATGGCAAGGTAAGTGGAACACATATTGAAATTTCTAGCATAGTCACGAAAATATAAGAGCACAAGTGTATGATCGTATTGAAATGCAGATTAGGAGAGTTCACTGCGCTTACCTCGATTCGGCTTCACAGACGATACTCCCGGCTCAACATACTCGAAATCATATTTTGAAACAGCTGCATAGTTGGCATCGTCAGCACGAAGTCTCACCTAGAAAGATTAGCATTTCTGTCACTAAACTCAAAAGGGAAGCTCAGCCAAGCGCAAATGGGTCTTCACTTTGAAGAGCATTGAAGGCTTTACTATCTGTCAAGCTCCCCTACACGCCGAATTATGATTGTTATCGAGCGAAAATGAACACAGAATCAACAATAGTTATGATCTTCTGCGTTCAAATAGAGCAGTGTTTAGGATGAGGGTATTAGACAGAAGGCGCTCATTAGATGAGCTCTGATAATTAACATTTGAACAACTGAGCAATTCTGGATGAATTTGTTTCAGTTGCGCGTTCGATTTTTCGACCTAAAACGCTCATAACTCGGCTTCAGAGGCACTTGGCAGGTGAAGGAAACAAATTTGGAATCAGGTTCAAGGCTCTACAAAATGATATAGGCGTCGTGTAGACACCACTTCGACTAAACGGCTAACCTCATAAGAGATTTTGGGGTAAGCTTTGTAAGTTCGCCTTGAGATGGTAGAAAGACTCAAGGAATCTGGATCAAGTTTTGCACACTAAACTTGCGGGAAGAACTATTGTCAATAAGCTATTTCTGCCACAAAATTATTGATTGGCCTTTTTGATTTATTGCGTTTTTCGTGCAACATTTCATTCATGGACGGTCGAAATCACAAAAGAATCAAACTTTTTGCATGGAACATCGCATGTAGAAACTTCGGGGTGAAGCTGGTGTCATTGGGTTCTTGATGCATGTTTTTGTCGTTCCACATATGTCCCTGATTACGGATATGGAGTCGAGAATCCGCGAAAACCCTAAGACCCATGTTCCGGAAAACCCATGGGTGGGTTCTTCGAACGGTGGCTGGGTGAGCGAACAGGAACGGAAGGGCATTACTGGAGAAGGGCGGTGCCGCCTGAGCGTACTTGTACCTCTTCGTTATTCTGCAGCGATTTTGTCGATACAGAAGCGACATCTTGCGTCGCGACTCGGGTATTGGTTTGATAGGGGTGCTACTATCGTGTGCTGCCAAAGGTCAAAACCCCTAACTTAGGGTGGACGTTGCCTTAAAGCTATTATCACCAAATAAAACTTCAATTGGTATCATCAATTTATTAATTCCTTTGCATTTGACGCCTTCTAGGACTAAACTGACAGAGGAGGCAAGTGAGCATGCTGATTACCAACAAATATTCAAACACTTTTAGTCAGCCCTCCCTGTCGTGCCTTGCAGCGGCAGCAAAGCGACTGGTAATTTCAAATGGGGGTATGACCTGCTTCTTCAATTTTTCATGTATCGACTATTTAGCAAGTCTGAGCATTTTTTGTATATCAAGAATAAGCTTACCACAATTGGTCCCTTGCTGTTCTTGATCGCTGCTTTGCCAGTTTCGCATACGATCTCTGTCGCTGGTTGGTATTCGGCTGGTATCACGACGCACTGAACATTCGCTACAATCACCGCACCCGACACATCTTGATATCGTCGTCCCAAATTGGTACCCGTGATTCGCAACTAAATGTAAAGATTTACGAGGTAAACACACTTTTGGTCGAAGTTACCATTCGAGTTGAAATGTATGCTGCTGAGCCAGTGACAAATGTTAATCAAAACTATAACCTATATCTGCGGAAAGCTTTTTCTCAGTAACTTACAAACTGGACCACCTTAAACTCAAAGTTAGGTAGATGAGCTCTGCAGCACGTACTACATCAAATGGCGCAGCGAGAATGTACTCATTTAGTACACAGGGTCACAAGTTTCGCTCCTTTCACAGCTGTTTTCGCGTCATTTGTGACCCTAGTTCCAAGCGTTCCGCAAATACGGATGCCAGATCTAAGCATGACGTTTGCTCCTACGCTCACCCATATATAGGCTGCTGCATAACGAAGGCGCAATACCTTTGGGCGCAAACGCGGCTACATTAGCCGCAGAGCGCACGAGGCGCAGCAATTATAACGGTGAAGATAACACGCGCGCAGCGTTCGCGTTCGTTCAACTAATACTGCTCCAGCGCCTTCGTCATGCAGCAGCCTTTACATCTCACTATAAATGGCCATCCAACTGATAGTACTATACTTTCTTGCTAGTAAAAGCGACATATCCCCCTATTTAAACGCAGCAGCAGTAGTTCTAACCTTCGTTTTTCCACCAACAGGTCCCTTTTTAGGACTGAAGTCTTCAATAGCTGGATTTGCACACAGCTGCGTGCTGTTCAGCCAATCTTGTGGTGATCTTGCCAAGCATGCCATCGGTCTGACACATCTGTTATCTATAGCACACCAGCCACATTCATACTTTTCAGCATCCAGCGTAAGACATCGGCCGCAATTCGATGCAAGAGCTTCGCACTTATAAACCTGGAAGAAGCACAAATGACGACACCTATCACTGTAAAATCTCTCGATTAACCTCTACGGCCACTCCACCGATGTTATCCAGAGTGTGTTTTCTGGAAGAATCACTTGAGGACCACACAACGTTGAACTCGACTGGAGCTGTTCCTCCCGACACGCCAAGCCCGTAATGATCAAACTGCATCTCATCACATCTGACACGGATAGAAATGGATGCAAAATCAAAAAATTACAGTTTCCCTCACATCACGTTATCGTCGAATGTCTTAACAGCAGGTTTTTCGTGCTCAACGTTTCCTACTTTGAAGTGACATCGAAAATCCGTCATGAAGATCGGATCAAGATTTTGGACCTGGCAAATCGAAGCTCAAAAATGAGCACTTCGGAAAATGTAAGTACCACTCACCTTCACTGTGATATTCCTCCTTTCACCTGCAGCCACATAAAGTTTGGTTTGCGGTGCAACAATATGTGGACATTTTTGTGGACCTTTCCTCCTAGAGTGACCCTCACGCTGGAATGCAAATTGAAGGCTTATCTATCATCAGAAGCAAGGACACAGACTTTCCTTGCATGTAATGAATTGACTTTGCGCAAAGGCGGAGAACCGGGAAGCTCGAAAGAAAATGGAAATTTCTTTGAGCCTGTCACAAATTTTAACAGATGAACTGTAAGTGGAATGAGTTTGCAGTGCAGAATATCATACAAGTTGAACAAATAGTCAAACTAGCTGTTCTTTCATTTAAAGTTGGCACTTGCTCTCACAACATTCCAACCATTGCAATTCATAAAACCCGCCACTACAATTAGGTTGGCTTCTGAGACTTCTTTTTGAGCTAAAGCGTCATTTCTTAACAATGCATGTACAAAAGCAAACTTGTTGATGTACTGGGTATATACCCGAGCATGTGGGAGAAGTCTAGGGCCAAAGGGGTGGGATTTGCAATTACTCTCCTACTTTTTGCGCGCAAATTTCTCACAGCGTGTGCATATGATATCGGGTCTGCTAGAGCTCGTCCTATGATATATGTAACTTCCAACCTCACGTTGATTTATAAAAAGCACAAGACGTACATTCAATCCGTTGACTATGTGCTGTTTTCGACACTTATCTTCAGTGAGTTTCCCTGCAACACATTCATTCGACTCCAGACACCTAAAAATTGTAGCGGATACGTAGCGTGCTTTCCTCATAAAAATTCACATAATAAAAGCAGAAGCTCCAGTTCTTACCAATCACATGGAAATTCACTTTTTGCACACTTCGAGCAAGTCAAATATCTATTACAGTCGTAAAATGAGAAATTGGTGGATGCAATTGGAGTAATTCGCCCTGAAAGATGGCACATGATGGACATAAAACATTTTCTAGTTGATAGTCTAGAATGTGTAGACCCCTTGCGGTAACTGTAAATCCTCCAAAAAGCCGGCGCTATTTTCTCACGCTCCGATCGGGCACTAAGCTATAGCGGTGAAAATGCGCTTGATCACAGATCGGGAGACTGATATAACCTCTAGCGAAAAAAGCAAGATTATACCTTCTGCCACTACACTCAAAGTAGTCTGATGATGTGACTCATTCAACGGGATCATCGGTAATCGATTTATTGGAGGAGTAGCACATCTCAGTGTTCTGCAATGCAAAAACCTTGGTTATGGATTTTTTTTCTGGCTCACAAAGATTTACCCATCAAGAGGATCTTGTCTAGCTGGTTCACTATTGACAACTTTCCCGTCCGCAAAGCGAAAAGAACACTGCAATCTGCCCTTGATATCTCCCATATTTTCCAAGCTAACCTAAACATTGATCAGTTGATTAAAATAAGCCGAAAATTGTTTTAAAAATCTCACATTCAAAAAATCCGCTGTTGTTATCTGGATTTTATCGGGTACAACACCTCTGATGCTAAAAAAGCACATGGAAAAAGTGTTTTCAGAGCGTAATCAATATACAAAGACGAAGAGCTTGTAAGGAACGCTTACTTAGGGCAACGATTGTTCTGAAAATCCAACCATCCACTGCTTGTTTTCGGTAATACTCGTTCGCATGTATCTTCTTCAGTGCAAATGCTGTTTTTCACACACCATCCACAAAACGGATCTCTTTTCGCTAAACATGCGCTACATGTTGCCGCATCAGCACAGTTCGACGTCCTCATTTTCACAACCTTAAGTAATATGTAATAGAGGAGGAGCAACTGCAAGTTTTGCAAATGTAAGATACCACTGAGAGGGCACTATATTGCCGTAATCACCCTTGTTAAATCCCATACGAGATTACTATATTTTCAGATGTATAAGCCGCATTTCGTGTACTTCAGAGTTGAGTAGACCCGCGCACGTCGCTAAGCATATGCTTTTGCGAAACAACTGAGGGTCCCAGGGAAATCCCACGCCGCATCTCCCTCCTTCCCTAACTCCCTCCTCCCTCCCCCCCCCCCCCCCGCATAGTCACAGTCGGTCATTTGTAACTTATTCTGTGTAATGCATGACATGACTTCACGACTTACACTCATTATAAGTCGTCAGTTCTAATATTTCTCATTCCTTTTCTCGGTTTAGAGCATAGGTGGGTTCAAACGAATACAACTGTATATCTCTTGTCGAATTGCTATATCAACACGGTGCTACTAAGATATTAGAATTGAAGAATTTTACAAACCTTCGTGACAAGTCACCAATGACCCAACCATTGATGCGCGGCATCCGGAAATCAAAAAAAAAATCGCTCTGACTTCACTGTGGTTGGAGAATGTTTGACATAATCCATCAAGGCTCAAGCTATATTGATCTCAGAGTATAGTAGAAAATCTCATTGTCCCTTGTTTTGGCAAGACATGACCACTGTCAAGATTGCGACTAGGATGAGTACAAGCACGCCTTGCGTGCCGTTCTCACATATCCGGGGGATCTAGCGCTAGCGACATCGTTCATTCAGAACAACAGCTTTTACAAGCACTTATCGCTCGTTTGAGTGGGAAGCATTTCGATTCAAGAGAGGTTAAATCTAAACGCACATAAAGTGGCAAATTAACAATTCACATCCCTCGTCGCTTCTTGCGACCACAAAGGCACTACGGCAGCAGCTTCTTAACTACTTGAACAGTCACTGGGTCGGCAAGTTCTTCAATGGTGCACAAACACTACTGTGATGAGTGGTGGACTGTGCTGTTGAAAATAATTAAAGATATTCCGGCAGCTAACAAAGACTGCTCGTATCTGTGCAGATCAATGCAGAGCGCTTCTAAACAGAAATCTCCCATAGTGGAGCCATAGTTTGCAAAACGTCGCTCCCTTCTCTGCACTCAGAGAAGGCAATTGGGCAAACACGCACTCAACATTCGGCTGTCTGACGGTTGCTGAATGCACAGACAAACACATCAGATGTCAGCCGGAAAAGATTACAGTACACACCTCTGACGACTGGATTTTCGTCAAATGCCAGAAACTCACGCTTGATGTAGTGCAATTCGTTTGTTTACCCTTACAGACTTAGCTACAAAATTGCCCTTCAAAAATAACAAATCCCTAATTGTTCTATACTTATTTATGTATTTATGACTGCACATTTACCGCTGCTTCAAGACTACACGAGGAAACATCAAAAACGCATTGCGCGAAATAATGATCTGAAGTAATCAGAATCTTACAAGAAAAATCAGGTAACTTAGATTGGCCTTTCATGTAGAAACATATATGGTTCAAAGCATCTCCAGACGCTGATTCCAGATCGGTTCCTAGCTGCAACATTATTTGTGCGTGGAACTGGCAAACTGGGCAATATGGGATTTCTGCCTGTAAGCGGAAATCTGCCCAAATATGTGCTAAGGTAATGAGACATAATCAGATTTGTCTTCTGTCATTGACAAGAAACTTAACGCAGTAAGTTAGCACTTGTATGACGACCACGCAATGCCAATAGGTCACAGAGCATGCAAATTTTGCATAAAAAACCAACAAGTCACTTCAGAATGATATGTCACAGCAAGGAAGTAGTGTTTGGAATTAGTGTTCGAAGGTGATTCCAAATATATGTGCCTCATCTCAAAAGCGAATCTAAGTCATGACTTCCCTTGTTAGGTCCAAGCCAGAAAAAGCGCTCAAGCTCATATTGCTTCCATTAGCTCGTCTTCGACAAGTTGATTATGGAAAATGCAAAGTCATGGATAAGACTACACCAAAACGAAAATCGAATCGTCCCCAGGTGCATCCATTAGCCGATGTTTGAGCATATTGACATCGTTGGTGAGCGTATTTTCCACCGATACATATTTGGGAAGTGCAGGCAGTAATTTACATATCATCTCGTGCACCCGCACAATTTTTCGAAACGCCGGATTGGAAAGAAGCATAGCTGCTTTGTGCGAGACTCCTTTGTTATTTCTTTGCTGCAATTCTTCTCCAGATTTAGTAATTTTCTTTGGTATGATGTCATAGCATCGAAAAAATGCGTTTCGTATGTAATCTTGCAGATACGCTGCGGGAGGGCTACCTGCGCGGAAAGCCTGTACTTCATAACCGCATCACTTCTCCCATGTCATAGCTGTCAACTTTAAGGTCATCAATTCGTGCCCATTCCGATATAAATATGTACATTGGGAGTCTGCTGATTCGTAATGCTTCAGGCACTCCATTCCGGACCGCAGTCTCGCGCGAAACTCCTTGCGGCGGCTTTTGCCTAAGCAAAGTGGAACAGTGCATAAAAAGTCAAGCAGGGTGACTGTTGGATATTGTAGTGCAAAACGGTCATCTCCCATGAAAAAATAACTACCTGCATTAGGTGACCAGAGAAGTGTCGACAACTACATCAGTCGTGTCCTGTTCGCTAATTGGATTAGGGACAACTATCTTTGCGAGTATACGCATATCAGGTCATGAGAAGTTTTTGCAAGTCTAATAACCTACTTTCGCCGCCGCGTCAGCATTTCATATCCCTAATTGTAGATTCCCTCCTTCCCCCCTTATTCTCACAATCAGTAGAACATACGTACGGATAAGCACAAATGATAGGCTGCAAAAGCTTTAGTTGCAGCGAAAAAAGAGGTATAAAGATTAAACAGCGGATGTGGTCTTGAAAAAAAATTTTTTTGGTTGAAAATTATGATAGCTTACCTTGCTGGGGGTGAGTACATAGGCATACTGGCCGTTTTCACTAAAGTCGAGATCAGCAAGAATCGGTTCATGGCTCGACGATACCTCTTCAGTAGCGTATACTTCAGCTGTAGTCGAGTCGTGAAGGATAGTCTAAATGACAATGATGTATGCATACTGAGACAAAAAAAAACATGATGATCATAGCAGCGCCTGGAGGTTGACAATGCGTCATTATTCCGTCATAATTTGCAATCTAACATATAAAAAAGCAGAGCCTATCCTCCTTTGCATTATTCAACTATTATATATTACAGGAACGATCGTAAACGCATAACATGATTAACACCCACTGGCGTAATATCCTGAAACCCTAACTCCACCCCGAATGTAAATCCCATTTACCTACGAGTAGTTACTTTTGATACTCAAAAGAGTACAACAAAAAGCCAAAGTTGGAAATCATGATCCATCGTCCTAAACTTACAGCGTGTTACTAATTTATTGGCGAGCCTGCATCTCAAACATCATTAGGTCATTCCAAAAGCTTTGCGTTTTTTCTCGGATTCCTAACCTCCAGAATAAAAAACTTTACTATTGAAATGCTTGTAAAAGGAGGAGTTTCTTTTTGCATATGTATTTACGTGGGACTTGAATGTTGCCTTCTAAAAAAATGTCATTGAACGTTGCCTTCTAAAAAAATGTCATTGAACTTGACCACTCAGACATCTTTTTCGAAGTCACTGAAACAGGGTCACGATGCAGCAGAACAAGAGCATAAAAGTGTACATGGTTTTCGGAGAAGGTATTTTGGTATTTTTGCAGCCTATAATTGACTGCAAAAATATCACAATTCGCAAGTCTGTAACGAAAAACTCGTTTTTCGCAAAAAAATCAAGAAATCAGGATATGCGCACAGAAATCCTTATGAGCACATTGACGACGGTGCAGATTTTAGATTTCTGCCCTCTGAGATCAAGGCCTCTCCAAGTCTTTTTCTAAAAGAATCCACAGAGAGCCATCTACGTATGAAAACATCTACAAAAAGGTTATTTCTAAACGCAAAAAAACCTCTGCGCTAAGTTTATCCAAAGATAATCTTCATCTCAACGAAATTCAATCATGACAAGTATAAGATGCGCTCGTCATAAATAAAGAAAAACTCCCGTGCAAAGATTAAACTCGTGACGATGTATTGCTGGCTTTATACGTACGATAAAAGGTTTGGCGAATTCAAACAGATAACAAGGATACTGCAAGTTCCTGCATACTTGTACGCTCCTCAAAGATTCTGTTCCCAAAGTCGGTCTTAAAAAAATAAAGCAATGCTGCATGGAACGCATCCTAGATTTTTTAACACTTTTATTTCATATTTGGCGACTCAAACTTCGTGAAAAATGATAAAAGTGACAGAATGACCTGATAGACATTTATTTAAGCTCGAGATTCTTCATCCTTTGAAGTATGCGCTTGGCCTACGTTATAATGTTGGGACAGAGGTCTCAAAAACAAGTACGATGTTCCACTAAAGGCAAAACTTTCGGCGAGAGATTGATCTTTTTTATCAATGTAAGCTGTAGGACTTTTATGTTAACTTGAAAATACTACTCGAAAACTGACTACAGTTCTTTCGCATAAAATTAAATATCTCGTTGTCAGAAAGAAAGCCCCTCATCTGTCTCGAACACTCGCAAATCGCAATTGTTGTCATTACGAGAGCGGCCGCGATTATCGAATCTACGCTCCCCAGCACCATCACACAAAGTTCGTCACATCTAGTGTGTCCACCAAGCCAAGCCATGGACTAGGCTAGGCACGCCTAAATAGATTTTCAGTGCCTCGGCATCAATTGGCCGCTTCCTTGCCACTGCCCCACCACATATCCAGATACAAATGTGATTAGCTGCCGGAGTGAACTCCTACATGCCATATGGCAGCATTTGGCAGCAATCAGCGCGCTAATTGCATTATAAGCAAGATGTGTCTGCAACAGTGGGCATATCATACACAAAGTGGTTTACAAGTGGAGTGTGAAGGGCAGGGAAAAGAGTTTTGACCGGTTTTTGCTCGTTCTTTCCTATGTTTCAGTGATAGTCGTCTTATCCTCATTCTTCAGTCCCACTATCGATCATCAACTCGGTTCATAGGTAGAGTTGGTCCAGCTTGAAGAACGTAGTTGTCAAACGCTCGCTAAGCAAACCCGTGAAGGGTCAATTTTCAAAATCAAAAAACCGAGGCGAATTTTCGAGAAAAGCATTGCCTGAACTTTTCGGCAAAACCAACCCAGAGAACAATGTTCTGATAGTATGGTGTTTGCGAACAACTTGCCCAATCTTGACCCTGGTGGTTTTTCTATATGGTAGCAGATGACTCTTTCAAACTTATACCACTTTCTAAAAAGAGACCTGATGAGAACCCGGGACAAATTTGCATCTTAAAAAAATTTCGTGAGGAGACCGACTGCTTGTGGCAAAGCCAGAGGCAATTTTGAGAAGCGAAAGCTCCTATGCAGCACTTTTCTCTACTGAAACATGCTTATGATTTTGATTGTTCCATGCAAGGTCATGATAAATGTGGACTCCAATGCCATATACTTTTCAACAAACCAACAAGAACGCTCTAAAGCTTCCCTTGAGTCCGTGAGTAGGATCAAAAAGATAAATTCCTTTTCTTAGTTGAAAATACAATTTACACACTCAATCTCAAGAAACTGTTCATCTTTGCTAGCCAGTATTACGTTGATTATACGCGATAGTATGGGCAATCAAGCTTACGGCTCTAGTACGATACAAGAAAAACTGCAAACTGTGCTTAATCGCTACTGTGGAGAAGACGCTAAGAACTTTCAAACGCTAGACCAGTACGAAACCTGCTCACGGACCTAAACATATTATATTTATGGCGTCAAACAGGAGGCAGCAACTTTACGTAATCTGAGTATATTCTCCTAATCGCTAATATGTACGTGAAGTTCGACAAAATTAGCAGTTACTAAAATATGCTGACAAAAAATATCACTTTGACATCCCTTTCTTTTGCCCTATATATGAGAAGCAGCAAAAGTTTTAAATACCATGATGGTTGCCGCTATAGCAGTCCATTATTAGGGTGTGCGCGCAAAGCAGATTCGGAAAATTACGTCCGACACACATAAGATTTGGCCAAGGCTCTACAAGGTTTTTCGGCCACAAAAACAACTGAACCCGAATGCTAACATCATTCCCTTGTTAGCCATCTGTCATGGGAATTGACCACCGCTCTAGCTAGTACTTCGATTCCAAAAGTTTTCGTCAGTGGTGTTCAAAAACCCAGGAGGAAAAAATAGGCACCTTAAGTATCCGTCCATCATCGGTGCCGATAAATGCTACCGTAGCTCCGCGCGTTGTGTTGATGGCGATGGCAGTGAATCGGGCATCGTCGACTGTCAGCAAAGGTTCAGACGAGATTGGTTTACCTCCTCCTTGAAAAAATTCAAACATTAAAAGATAAAATTGCAATAGAGCATGCAGTCGAAAATCTGAAACATATGCACAAGGTATTATAGACTCACAAAGAAGTTAATCGCCAGCGTTCAGAATGTGACAAAGGCAAAAATAGTAAGCTATTTCCAGAGAATCCTAGATAGGAAGCAAAAAGAACGCAAAGCAAATAAATCTCACGAGTGTTCCTAATCCCAAAGCGATATCAATTTTGACACTAGAGCTATGTAAACGTAGGAGGACAAATTGTATGACTGCTAGGAGGAATGTACGACTGGTTCGCTTCTACTAGTACCGATAACATACACTTGACAAGAATTGTACAGAAGATGATATTTTTGCAAACGAAGCTCTGAGTAACGGCTTGCATAAGACCAGCGATAAGTTAGTGGGAGACTAAGTTGATTGAAAGAGCAGCTGAAGAGATTAAAAAAATATATAGCCCATTTTCGAAGATTATAAATGGCAACATTATCAATTTTGTTTACTCGAAAAAGAATGAATGAGAAAAGATGTGATAAAAAGCTTAATAGAATATAATAATTTACCGATGTTTTTGTTGACATCCTGACCACATTCCACATCTTTCCAAGACAGGTGAGTTCCTTTGCATTCATCAGACGACTTGAACCAAGGCAGTTGCTAAAAAAAATTATTAAGTAATGAGCTACTTGCCAGAAGCATGGCTACCTTGAGATTTTTTCCCCGATAACACTCCATGATGTTCTCCTCGAACTTCTTCTCTACATGTTTTTGTATGGGATAAACACATACCGCTGAGCGACGGGTGGGAAACTGAAAGGAATTTGAATATGTGATAACCCGAAAATACGGAGAGCATGAAATGCAGATAGCTGATGGCCTCACATTTCTTTGAAAAGCGGCGGTGTCATCTGCCACAAAAACTGCGTAAAGGACTTCATCGCCCTCGCTGAAAACCATAAAAACAAGCAATTTTGCTATTCAAATAGAAAATTTGAGAAAAATTTAATTTAAGTGGAATTGACCTGATTCCGAACGACTTTGCAAGATTGTAACCAGCCGTTGCAACATAAACATCTTGAATTAAATTGTAATTGATGTCGTCTTTGGTGCATTCGAGTGGGACCTAGGTACGAATTTCATGAAACACACCAACCAATGAAATTTAGTTGCACCTCAGTATAGCTGTAAAAATGCGCGTCTCCTGTGCAGACTCGAACGAGCCTAGATTGTATTGGTGCATCTTCTCCTATTGTGGCTCCCTGCCTGGTAGCAAAGTATGCATATCGTCCAGACTCAAATCCACCTATGTAGTCGATTCTGAAAAAACATAAATGAAACAGATAGGTTTCCATTGATGAACGAAACGTTTGTCTAATGAATGCGAAAAAAAATTTATATAACCCTGCAGGGGTTTATTATAAGATGCCCATTTCTAACCGGGCGCTGTTTTACCGTTACAAACGAGCGCCTGCCAACCAGCGACCAATCAAATATTGGTAAACATCGCCTCCAGTGCTCTACACTGATAGATTTACGAATGAATAGCAAAGAATAACAGACACAAGCCAGGTTAAAAAAATATTTTCTGTTCACAGAAGCAAGAAAGAGAATATGCGCACCTGTAGCTACTTCTGAACTTTCTTTCCAGGCTGATCTCGGTCCCCGTTGCAAGTCCTTTGTCAGCTAGCTCAAACTCTTTCGCTTCGCCATCCCCACGCGATAATCGTAATGACGTGACGGCAGGGATATCGTCACGAAAAAGCTGGATCAGAGCAACTGAGAGTCAATATACTTACACAATATAGCCACTTACCGGCCCTCTTACGAAAGTAGTGCCAACGTACAACACTGGATCTTTCGATGGTCCCATCCCGACAAACACCACTGCTGAAGAAGTGGCATCGTTCGCTATCATAGGTTCAGGTGATTCGATCTGTACATTACTGATGTTATGGAGATTTCGCAGCCGGCATCGACCCTGCAAATATAAAATACAGTGCATGCAAGATAACTAGGTACAGATGACAAACTCACTTGAAAGAGACTAGTACACTCTATCAACTGTGATGACTTGTCGTACACTGCTAACGCCTTAGCATGAGAGTTGGTTTTATGCCGAATTGCAGTGCAGCTGTCGTTGCGACCTGCAAGATGGGTAATAGCTGATCCAACAACAAGAGAGCAACGAAAACATAACAAAAGAGAATTCTTCAATGAAATAATGAACAATGCATTGCAATTTTCATTTACGTGGACTTCGGATTAGCTTCCCGCAACGAGCTAAAATTGTGCACTGTTTTGTCGCATGGAGGATTCCAGATAGGGCGATGCAAGTTCAATCCAAATAGCCTGATCGAGCAGCACCTCACGATCTCGAAAGATTGAAAAGGTGTGTTGCCAGAAAAGGCGATGTACATAACGCTTTGACAAGACATAGTTTAGGCGCCACCACCCTAGTGATGCTCACTTACGAGGGTAACAGCGCCCGATCATCAAATTAGGCGGTTGCTAGATACCGTCTGTGAAGTCCAGGGATTGAAGAAAAGCAATGTGTAGCGCATTCGCAATTTATTTTCAAAGCGCTGCTATTATACTTTCATACCCTTTCGGCTTCCGAGGTTGATATTTGAAGAACGATCTTCATACGTCAACAATGCGTGCCATCGCTTGTGCTTACTTGAGGGGTGACACTTCTTCTGAACTCGGGTACAGAGATCCAGCACACAAACGATGCACAAAAAGGTAAGATGCCGTATTCAAAATTGCACTCCCCCCCCCCGTTTAATTTTTACTTCCTTCGAGTTAACTCCTCTATGCAGTCTAGTCATCTCATGCGATCATATGTGTCACGCATACAATGTCTATCCTTGACGTCTTCATTCTGGAAATCTAAAACAGTCACCGCTCCAGATGAGTGCTTTCAAAACTTTCTTCTTGTTTTCTTTCCTTTTTAGACATATTTCTCCCCAAAATGAAAGCGGTAACAATCCGGTCCGGTCACTTGTGTCTTTGGAACCAGTGGCCGTATTCATCAACACTTGAGATAAAATAGACTGAGAGTGTATATTCGTAGTCAGAAGTTATTCTCAATCAATAGCTTTTATCTCAAGGTATATATCCTTTGATTCAACGGAACTGGCGGCTAAAAGGTGGGGCTTGTGGCCTAATCGATGCTAGAGAACGATCAAGCACGCTCGCAGAGGGAGACGCAGACTGCGTTGCAGGTGCGAGCGGTCGCCTTCCAGCCCCCAACCCCGTTGAATCAAAGATAAAACACCTTGAGCCATTTAACCACACATGAACATACCTCAATGTAAAACCCATGAAGAGGCAACCGAAATGCACTGGCTCAAGACAAAAGTTCAAGGCAAATTATATCTTCCACGCTAAAGTTGAACTAATCTTGAGTTTGTACCTGACCCACCGCATTTGCATTGCCTCAAAGTGGATTCTACCTTCAGGTATGTTCGTGAATGCAAGTGATGGCTCAAGGTAATCCCACACATCTTGGGATATAAGCAATGGACTGGGCATACTGTGTGAGCAAAGGTAACCGCCTCAGGGTATGGTCGATTCGCTGACCGCAATAACTGGACTTCTGTGGAGCACCTGCCGCGAGGTAAAACTTCGGCCAATACAAACTGGCCATTGCACAAGTCCTGCTCTTGCATCATTTCAGTCGCGCTGCGCTTGTTCCGCAGCGTTTGAGCAGTCTATGCGGTCAGACGATATGTTGATAAATACTCCTGGAAATCAAAGAAAGGGACTGCGAACTGTGCACTACGTGTGCGAGACATGCGATCATTCGAAATGACTTGACTGTACATAACTTGTGCCAAAAAACATCCAGTAATCTACCTCAGCCAAATCGGATGGCATCCATTGCTACTACTCTTCGCATCACTCATAACAATCAAAGGCTGTCATATCGGGGGCTAGACAGCTCATCGACTTTGTCATTGTCCGATGACCCGTGCAGCACGTTTTCTTGTACTCTACGCTGCCGCCGCGCACTTTGCACGAAAACACTGACCCCGCCACCTCTAGTTTTCCGTACAAGTGCTCGGTGGGGTCTCGGCGATTCGAGTAATCTCAAACAAATCCCCCACTTCGCTTCGTTCTCTAATCTACCACTTGAGAACCTCTGTCGGCACACACACTCGCTACCATCAACGCTAATCGAGCGTGCGATACTGGCCGCGTACAACAATTCACAAAAGATATCGGCTGACATCGATACGTGACGATCTAGTCCATAATAGTGACCAGTCACTATACTGAAGGATAACGTGCGGCAGTTAAAGCACAGATTCAAGATGATACACAATATGAGCGTGATTTCGATTTGCGGAAATTTTTAGTCCCATGTTTGCTTGTCAATAAGCCATAGTATTACGCTGGAAACTAAGTTTTGCAACTGGTTTCATAACTTCACTCTCTTTGGATATGGCGCATTCAAACTTTGGCATTATGTAGAAAGCAATGTGAGCTACAAGAGAGCACAAGTTGTCTAAATTTTGAACACGAAATAGAAAAGTTTCAAGCGTTTATCGAAAACTAGTGAAATTTGAGAATTTTTGGGGTTTCAAGCTAAAGTGAAGCCTTTGGCAGCCTAGACCATGCGCAGTGATCCGGATTCTTCTAAAAATTATTGCTAGTGATTAACTCCTTTGGCCTAGTAAGAAAGATACAAAATTTAGGGGCATGTCGAGATTTGGCGCCCTCATAAAGTCGAACGAGTCGATGTTCGCAAGAGCTGCTGGGGACGACCGTCAATGACTAAAGAGTCCAAAGCTCAAATTCCGCCGAGACTTTACATAGTAAGGTTATTTGATCTGCCAAACGCGAATATCACATTCATTTGTTGAATCAACGCCTTTTTCCTTGTTTTGGGTGAGACGCCATATCGTACACCTACAGTAATCCTATAAAAAAGCCTAATCACGCAATTTCACTATCGTTTTCGTCATCATCTTGTCGGATAACACCCCTATGCCAAGTTTCAGCCAAATCCGTCAAACTTTGAATTTTTCCCCTTTATACCATGCACCTACCGTAACCCTCACTGCGACGTCAGAATTTGGTAGGACAGCAGCTGTGCTTGTAGCGTACGTGAAAACCAATGCAGTGGCAAAATTTGAGTGCGCCATGTTGAGTGAGAGGGAAGTTATGGGACCAGTTGCAAAACTTAGTTTCCAACCTAATAGATGGAGGAACGATTTAATATGTATAGTGGAGAGAACTGAAGAGGGAAAGATTTTTGGTGATCCTCGGGCCATTTACTATAAATAATTACAGTAAATCGTCACCAGAACCTCCACCGCTATTATCATCTTATAGTTTTGAAATTTTATGGAGTTCAAGTTTAGACTCTTCACCAACGCAAGAAATTTGCCAAAAGTAAAACAAAATTCATGAAGAATTTGATTTTATGTGTGACAAGCAAATACCAATGAGCTACGATCCTCCACACATACGGCCTAAACCGAGTGGAAATCTTCGAGAATGATTTAGAGTTTTTCGTATAAGTGTAACAAAACTTAAGTTACAATTTAATAAAGCTATAACTAGATTTTTGAATAAAGCTCTAGCGAGTCAGTCATGGAAATTGCTTGAGCACAGCTACGATCCGAGTCACATACAAATCGGCTAATTCTATCAACAGTTGAAAAAAATCTAATTAAATCAATTCTGCTGCATCTGGGACATATCCACTTCAAGTCACTGGTCGAATTTTGCGCTTATGACCTCAGCATCTGGCAGATAAACAAACTATTCTAATGGAGTCCACACATTCTCTGTAGAGATGGATGATCCGGATCAAACAGCTGCTATTAATCGCTGCAAAACAGATTGACGGAGGAAAGTACGCAGCATCCAGTGAACGGACAATTCGCGAGAAGACCTGCCCAAATGCGAATTTCAAATAGAAAGAACTTCGATACGACTCTATTAAATAAAAATAAGTGTAAAAATCAAAAATTTGTTCAATATTACATAAAGCAACATGTATCGCCAATGATTCAACAACAGCTCGCTCTCTTTTAGCAACACTTCGTCTAGAAAAAAATTGACCATTGCAAGCCATCCAGGCGCAATTACTACACTTCCATATTCAGTTTCTCATTTTCGTGTCAGGGAAGAAGCAGTGTCCAGCACTTTGCACTTCTCGAAGCAGCTGTCCGGATGCGTCCCTTATCTCCCAGTGACCATTATTACACAACTACAACGGTGCCCTCGTGCTAACAAGACCATCAACTGTTCCATACACTTTCCAGGTCTTGCGACGACACACAAAGGCTGCTGCGATGTAACCAGCATTGACAGCACGATGTACGCGCAATTCATACGCTGCTTCCTCATACAACAGTTTACTAATTGATTAGCTGATGTAACTTATAACCTCCTATTCTCTATAACGGATTCTAAAGAGAAGTCTCCTTTTGAGCAAATCATTGATCCAAAATCTACATCCCGCTATAAGTAGTGTTAGTGCAGCTGCAAAACACCGCTTCTGAAGCAAGAAAATAGTTCCAGAAGGTCACTGGCTGCAGCGTCCACGCTCCCCTGCTTCAGTAAGGATGAGGCTATGTCGGGAGTTCTAAAGTAAATCTTTTACTTCAGAAGAGGCATTTCCCAGTCGCAATCGGGCTACGACTTGAATTGGCCTAATACAGTAATCCTTTGGGAATGAGGCCACATCTGACCGAACACTGTCTTTGGGTCTGCATCTCTTCATTCGCTGTACGAAAGGTACCATGCTAGCTAATTAACAAACCAAAACACTATGTTCATTCTCTCACAAATTATTCGCATAGGGTCAAGGTGTACCTGATTGCTCATCAACAAAAGAGTCCACAGACTGAGTGTGTCCCATTGTTTTACGATGCTGCGCGATGAGTTTTGGCTGGGAGCGTTGAGGGATAATTAGAGGCTCTTTTGGTCCGCTAAATATGCAAACCCCTTGCACTCACGAGGCGCATTCTTTAGCGAATTCGCATACTCGATGCCCATGAATGGCCATATGTGCCACGCCATCCACGCGAAAATCTCACCTCAATTCCTCCTCCGTTCGCTCCTCGTCAGCGAATTAACCTCATTCATCACACCGCCCGCGTATATAAACACTCGCGTAAGAGGCTGCCGCTTGACCTAATCACCGCACAACTTTCTACAACTGGAGTGTCTGCAAGTATCTGCAATGCGGTCGCCGCGCCTGGTTGATTCACAACAGTGGAAAAGAAAGTCACTGCTCCACTCAAACGCAAAGTGAACTGGAAACGGAGAACTAGGGAATTTGTACCCAAAGCAAATCAGTCTTGAAATTCAAGGAGCGTAGTAAATCATATTTGGCAAATTAATTACATTATTTTACTGTTCCAAAAACAGAAGATAAAGAGGAGACATTAAACGCAGCGCCCGTTACAGCCGCTGCTTCAAACTAGTAAACAGATAAATCGCATAGCGTTTTCCCCTCAAACTGGACAGTTCCTCGCAAGATTATCCACTACTCAGCCTTGAATTAACTGATAGAAGCTCAAAGTCAAATAAATCCAAATTGAAGCCGCGCTTTTCATGACGAATGCGCCCTATTCACATAAAATGCTAATCCAGAAAGGTTGCGGTGGCTTTGGTCGATATGGATGACGAAGAAAGGGTGTGAATAGTCTTCTCACACACAGCAGGAGGCCTAACGTAACCAATCACGCTCAAGGATACAGTGCGCGTGTCTCGGAAAGCTCTGGTTGCTGTTTGTTAGAAGCAGTAGGTTGATTGATGGTGATGGTTGATAAGGATTTTTGAGCGAATTTCAAAAGGCAGATATGGGAAACAAGAAACAGTAGTGCTTTTGAGTGGTAAAGGAAGCTGAAAAGAGCAGTAATAAAAAAAAAAGAAGAATGGAAAGCCAAACTGCTTATCATTTTGCGAAACATGAAAGGAAAATTCTGTGAGCGTCAGTCCATGTATTATGAAAAATTGTGAAAGAACGCTCCAACCTTAAAAACCAACAACTTTAACTTCACGGTACTCTCACAAACTGTCGCGTCATCTTTTTCACGAACTCTAACGCTGCACTGTGATCGAGCAAAAGCCTGTTGTTTGCGAAGTGCGATTGCGTACGGCCAAAGAAGTAGCCAACTACAATCCATTTGCGATTTCTAATCGAGAATTCAAAGAGTAGGAGGAGAATAGCGGGTTTTTGTGCGTTACACAAAAACCACCCCTCAGTGGATAAAGTTAGATTAAACCCATAATCAGCCACGACTAACATCCTACTAAAGAAACACAGCTTATACCAGCACAAAGAATCCATCCAAACATTCGTCGTATAAAAACAAAAATCATCTTATCAGAACAAAAAATCGAATCAGAATATCTTACCCCCTTTACACTGATCAGAATCGTCCATTGGTCCAGTCACGGCCTCTACCCTGACGGAAAGATCTGACGAATGCAAATCGTACAGATAATTAACGCCGGCCACATATATTCGTGTATTTGATGGGTCGACAACCTGAACGGCACAAATATCATTGCATTCCCAATGGCATACATCAAATCAATCTAAAAAGGCCAGATACACAGAAAGAAAGCTCCTGCAAGAGCACAATAGATAGCGATACACAAAAAACTTTGCAGCTGCCTCAGTGAGATTTTGTCTTCACCACTCTCAGTGCATCGTTCATTCAATTTAGCCTCAAAAAGGAATCCGAGTAGCAAGTTTACATAGAAGTCTTGCCCTTTGGAAATCATGTAAAAGGTTGACTAGGAACATATGCAGGTACACCGACAAATTCGCAAATCTTGAAGACACTTAAGGGTCCTCTCTGATTTTTCTTTACTATGGTGATTTTTTTAACCAAAAAACAAGATGAACGATAAACAGAAATAGAATCCTTTCCCAAAAATTTACGAAACAATAGAATGTAATCTAGCGCATATAAAGAACCGAGATGTGAACCCAGGTTTTCATAATAAGGAGACCAGTTTACCGCAATTTTGGATCTCGCTAGTCAGGACAATGTGTGCATTTTGGATGACCCGGTTAAGCGCTTGCGCCACCAAATATTACACATCGAACGTAACTCGCACTAGCTGACGATGCAATGGATAAAACAACACGAAAATCTCAGAATCCATAAATAACGCAACATTGAAAGTCCAATCAAAATGGCAACCCACCATTTTCTCGAATGCCATGCCTTCGTCAATATGCTTATTCTTAAAGACTATCCATTCATCAGTATGGTAGCCATAGTTTGAAGGAATAAATATAGATAAAAATAGAATATAACAGCTAATCGGAGGCGATTTGCTCCAAGGTGTTTGCCATCGCTTCGAGCGTGGCAACACGCATAATTCGGCTCGATAATACATGTCGCCAGTTGCGATTACTCATCTCCTAGACATACTCGAGCGCCTCTTGAAAATACGATCCTAGAAAAGCTCAATAATTTGATACTGGTATGATTTGTCGTATAACAATTGACGAAAGATAGGAATTGCCATTCAGCAATTGAAGAAAGACAGCAATCACATGCTTGAAGATTATGAAGAACTGAGTAATTATCGCCGAAACGCATAATTATCTGATCTAAAGTGTAAAGAGCTACAAGTAAACTGCAAGAGAGCACGTTACTTGCAAGCACGGGCGAAGCCAGAATTCAACTAACACCAAATTCGTCGAAGAAACTAAAATACTATGTTGGAATTATCTGAAAAATGCGACCGCGTTTTCTAGAGAACTAAATAACGTAAAAGTAGAAACTCGCAGATCATTCAGTGTGACAAAAAGATGTCATAGAAAATGCATGAGTTGCCTGTATATGACTCACAAGCTGGACAATTCAGTAAAGGTGAAAAAGTATTAAGGTAAATATTGGAATTGTAACCTTGAGGAAAGGCAACAGATGTAATCAATCACTTGCCCTAAGCAAAGTTTGGTAGTACGTGAAAGTCCCAAAAAATTGTGATGCTTCTAGATGTAACAAGTTAGCACTTCACATCAAAATAAACACTACTTGAACATGATACAGGTGCTAAAATTCAGTTCGGAACCATGGTACAAAAACAGTCAGAGTTGCAAATTTTTTCTGCATTAGTCTATGCTCTTCCGCAACAAGACTGAAGAGGTTGTAGAAGAAAGAGACAAGTGGAAGATTGACCCGATTACGCGATGATAAAACAACAAAAAGCAGCGAGCGCCCAAGACTCATGTCAAGAGGAGTAGTCGAGAGATCTGCCTGAAAGAAAAAGAAATAAGGACGCAGGTCGCTCCTCTACATCTAGAGCGAATAGAGGTAGAATTCTATATATATAGCTACAGAAATTATAGATATAGATATACATGTGTCCCTGAAAAACAAATACCTCTAGAACTAGAATCGAAGTTATTTCTCCTTGGAATGATATTCAAAAAATCACTGGACAGAACCACTGGAGCTGTTATTTGCTTGGATTTTTCGTTGTTCTCATTTTCGTCGTAATGACCACATTTTTTAGATGCAAAATGAATGCAGTAACTGAGAAGATGATTTAATATTCGACCTCATAAAAATAGCAAAGCAATAGCTGCAACAAAGAACATCCGAATTTCTCTTGACTCATACAAAAATAGAAGATTTTACTGCAGATAAGAATAAAAATAATAGAAGAAATTAAGGATAGCTTAGATGATAATAGAGACAAGGTGAATTACTGCTTTGATAACCGGCTCCTCTGGGTTGAGTAGGGGCAATTAACAAAGGAAGATGAATTCCACAAGCATAAATGGAATATGAGGGATTTCACCTGAGAAGATGAATCACCCAGCACGCCTCCCCAAACAAGGCAGTACATCAATCTGCCTTTCAAAGCAGGAAGACAACCGATAGCGTATTGATCGAGCTAGAAGTCGATATCGATTCGGCGCGAAGTAAAACTGTCCGACATCGACCGACGAGTTGTAAACCTCCAAAACTGATCCGACGGTCGGATAAGCGCCATCATTGCGCATTCCGATGATATCAGTAGCGGAGGCGACAGACAGAGAAAGATGTTCATTGCGAAATAGGCTAGGTAAGCCTAATTACCCAACAACAGCATCTGACCGATTCGAGGAAGAACGTTACAACGCGACATTACTTCTTCTCCAGCCATTTCAGCAGGCAAACGGGCGCAAAACGATTTTTTTTGCGCACTACCGCAAATTTCGCGCGAAAAAAACAACCCGAATTCGCTGTACTACATCCGGGTTTTCCTTTGTAGTTCATATTTATAGGCGTACAATGTCTGTGAAAGTGCAATCGCTGCAGAGTATAAGTGTGACAATGAAAGTAGCACTTCAGATTTCACACTTTTGACAAAAGTGGATATGGCGAAAAAGTTTTTTTGCTAATGTGTGCAATTGCTATGTTCCAGGATGTTTGCAGCGGAAAGATTTCCCAGAAAAGAGTGCAAGATAATATCTAACAAAGGTTTCTTCAAAGTATGCCTGAACAGAGGAAACTAAGAAAAACGAGAAAAAAACGTTAGACCCTGTGCCGATATTCTGGTGGAAAATGTGTAAAATGGCACATATTAGCGAGAAAACCTACTCGACTGTAAATTGAAAACCACTTGATCTATTTTTATACGGTTTTGTTCTGAACAAAATGAAGAGGGTCTACGACCAAAAACACATCAATGAACATCAACAGAACCAGATCTGCTAAAGAGCTGTTCAACTTCAACGAGCTGACTAACATACAAACTACGACACACACAAAAAAAACGATTGTATAGTGCGACTGAGAGTCGAAAGAATAAAAACGCGATTGTGCAAGAATGAAATATCATCCTTACAACATAACAGGAATTGTTAGGATTAGCACCGCGATGGAAGAAGAAGAAAGAAAGAACTTGAAATCAGAGGACAATGGAATGTACGCAACAAAGATTATTGAAAAGAAGTAAGTTAGAAACTTACAGCATGGATATGTTCTTCTCCCAAAATCTAAGCAGAGACCGAAGGCAACATGAGCCCCACGGATTTGTTGTTTTGTCCATAAAAAATTAGCGCATGACCCGTAAACAACAAAGTGCTGCACATGAATTAATGATGTGTTCAACATTTCAAAAACAAATTGAGAGGAAAGAAGCAAGTATAACAGTATAACGGATAACAAGTATTAGAAAAACCAAAGAAAATAACAATACCATCAAGAAGAGCGGAGATGTGAAAACTGTAATATATAAGTTTATTACGATAAAATTTAGAAAGCGTTGATGATGACAACATCTGGCGTATAAAAGATGCGAAGATGAAAATGTGAAGGAAAAACTCGCGGAAAACAGATGCAAGGTCAAAACCGAACATTTCGTGGTTTCGCCGCCTGCAGATTCGAATGGTCACAGAGCGGAGCGAGGGCGGACCGGGGGCGGGTGTCAGGCGGGGCCAAACCCGTAGCCGAAGCAGGGACGCAGCAGTCCGCCGACGTTGCCTTTGCCCTGTCTGAGCGCCGGCGAACGTTGAAAGCAGAGGGCAAGCGGTGAGAGCACCAATTTACAGCTGCGATAAGTACCATGCGAGAGCACTGAACGCTTTCAAAAATTCAAACAGACGTTTCCTTTGAAATCTGTACGATATACATTCTGCTGACCTCACATGTCTGCAAATTGTTGATTCCAATTCTAAAAATTTTGCAGTTCATTTAGCTGGCCTACAAAAATTGGCAAGCGACCGCAAGGTGCGAAATCTCAGATTTGGCAGAAATTTCGGGAGAGGGGCGAGAGGGGGGGGAGGGGAGGATACGTAACGTGATCTGAATAAATTTACAAAAACGCCTCGTTGAAGGGTTGCAAAACCCTATATAGGAGGAGTTTGAACTTCCTAGCGTGGTACACCAGCACACGAAACGGTTAAAAACATTGGGTCTAGTGGCGTACCGAGGGGGGGGGGGAGGCGCCCCCCCCCCCGAGAACGGGTTGCGAAATTTTTGAAAGTTACTTACATGAGTTATAAAATTGTGCAAATGACTTATCTGCACTTGTAAATGATTAAAATAATTTTTAAAAATTTTTAAAAATCCATTTTAGCCACAAAAATTTTCTGAGTGCCACGCACCTTCATTGGAAAAAATTTTTGTCGCCCCCCCCCCGAGCCGAAATCCTGGGTACGCCAGATTGGGTCCATTGCGTTCATTGGGAAAATTCTGAAGTCACATTTAGTTGGTTTACTACTCTGCAATATCCGAAACGATACAATAACTAAAAAAAAATTCTACAAGCGACCGCCTTCACTTCCTCGCGGCAACCGCTCGCTCATGCTGGCCCTCAAAGACGCCGCGGACCACTAACTGTGAGTACAGGGCTTACCAAATGCAGTGTCGGATGCACCAGCATCTCCACTCCTGCGCCAGATTCTGCGTCGCTTCCGCGAACATGCTTTCCAATATGCCAATCAATTAAGGGCTCCGCTTTTTCCAACGCTAGCGATGAGAAAGTGATCAAAGGGTGTCCGCGAACGAGGAACAGAGTCCAGGCGAAGCGGAGATGCTGGTGCACCCGCCACTACAGTTGATAAGCCCTGTACATACACCGTACATGATAATACAATTCCACGAAAAGCCTCAAAGGCTGCGTAACGACGGCCAGCAAATCTGCCGCCGACCATCCCAGGTTTTGGATCGTTTCCAACTCTACAGTGGTCTCTGCGCGAGGACTTGTGGTCCGAGCAGTGGCGTCGTCCTATAAGCTCTCCTCATTTTCCGCATTTTGTTCGTACCATATGCTTCTGCGATTACAGAAAATTGTAATGTTTTGGAAGTGATTTGTACGTTTATCGCCTGGCTTCGTTCAACTACTAGATCGAGTTTTTTTTTCTTGATTTCAACTTTGGGTGGTGGAAATGTGAGTTTGGGTGATATACAAGGGTGTTCCAAAAGTTGTGCACACTGTTCAATCGTTGACATTTTTCTGGAACACGTCTTTCGCCGCTCATATGTCACCGTTTTTCCAAATACAATATGTGATTTTAACCTCATACTACAGGGTGTCCCAAAAAAGTACCGAACGTTTGATCTCCAATAACTTCCTTAAAAGCTTTCGCGGATTTGGGTGCCATATGGTAGGACTAGCTTCAACTTACAAGGAAAACATGTTTAGTCGAAATGGCCTTTCCAGATGAGACCCATACTGCTTTGAAGAGCATTTATCGATGATTCCAAATCTACCTTCCAAATCTGCCAAGCGCCTCTGGACGCGGAGTTATGGGTTTATCAGGTCAAAAACTGAACGCAAAACGAACTAAATTGCCCATATTTGCTCAAATGGTCCAGTGTTAAGTATCAGAGCCCTTTATGCAGAGGATACATTTTGTCTAAGGGCCGCATGCTCTAACATCCCCGCGTGGAGGGGATCGCAGCTTAAAAGAAAGTTTTATATTTCGAAACTCCAGATACCTGGATTTCACGTTGTGTACCTGT